AAGAAAACAAACAAACGAACAAAAAAAGAAGCACCGTCTCCCACAAAGGTATCAGACCTGTCCTCCTTCGAGGGGATTAGAGTCAGTAAGGCGGCTCTGATTTCATACGTTGATTCTTATTGAATCGCGCTGTGAAATTAGCAGTGAAGACAGAATCTGTGATTGAATTTTTATGTCCCGGGTCGAGGCTGGAGAGCCAGTGCGCTCTGAATGACAAGTCACCCTTACGGATCGTCCCCCAGAATTGGAAACCGCACGCCGGCTCAGGTGTCTTGTGGAGCCAAAAGCTTGATAAAATCTCCGAATGTCACTAATATGAATAAAGAAATAAGTTCATTGCAGGCCTCGCCAGTAAGGCGCCTGGGCTGGGATTTACAGCGTTTCTGAACATGATTTTGGTGAATTACCATTTAAATCTGAGAGGAAAAAGTGCCATACATGAATTTATCCATTTATAATACAGTTATTGCACGTGTGTGGCTCACGTTATGCTTCTGTCATCATCATGTTAACATCATGCTAATATATAAGAATATCTTAAGTATAATTGGACATCTGGGGACTAGCATCCTGTTGTCCTCTCTTGTACCCTGTGTTTCCTGCAATAGACTCGAGACAGTAGCCCATTGCTGGATATACAGTTAGAGGAAACAGACGGGTGATTAAGCATTTTGACTAACGCGTCAGCTAGCAGGTAATTTTAAAATTGTACTCCACTAGCTCTTTGTTGATTTCTAACCCTACCACCTGCAAACCCTCACCATTCAGAAGTCTTAATGAGTCAAACGGGCTGTATCCAGTCGCATTGTGTGACCAAATACAAGTCAGAAATGAAACAGAACCAGTACTCCATAGCGCCAAATGGACATTATGCTAAAGCTTCACTACCAAGCTGTTGTCACGGTGACGGCCTGTCCATTTATCACCCTGAGGACTGCCGGGGAGGCTCGAGGTCCACCCAAGAGGTGGCCAGACCATAATTTAGGGTGGAATGTAAACAGGACGGACACATACAGTAGCTGCTTTTTCCAGTCCCATTTGCATGACCTGCTAACCGCTAAACCAATCAGTAGCCTGCCAAGCATTATTGACATTTGGTTTTGTAATTGGATTTACATGCCGCTTGACTAACTCGAGTCAGTGCTCATGCCTGTTTTCAATTAGCGATGAGATATGCTGAATGCTGACACAGGCCATTTTTCTTACAGAAAACCCAACCCGCGTTATTAACTAACTTGATTACAATAACACCTGCTTATGTAATTGAAATTAATTTCTACTTGCTCGGCTCAATTAGAGGCCACACTCAATCTATTAGTTCCCGCCGTTTAGGTCTGTCTGCTCCCCTATTTTGACAGATTTTACAGCATCGCTATGATTCTGGGTAATATTCAGTCAAGTGCGACTATCTTGTCGTGTCAACGTTTGGCATGTCTAGCCTGTCGGGCCGGGTTCACTGGCGAATTTCTGGCGTGTCCATTTTGAGCAAATGATCGTTCCATTATCAGCCAAGCATTAAAATGCCAAATGTGATTAAAAGGAAGACTGTTTAAGAATGTGATCGCGTTGCCTAGTGATCAATCAAACAGGTTTTGTGAAAATTTCAGGTACGAGCATGGAAAACCATTTTAATAGGAAATCTAGATACGTATCGAGCCTGCAATGGATATGTGGTTGTAGAAGATGGATGGATGGATGGATGGATCAATCTAGACAAATATTGTCTGTGTTGCTGTGTAGCCTATGCAATAAGCCAATTATTTCATATAAACATAAAACAGGTGTTAAATGTAGAACCATTTAGGGGAAAAGAATGGCATTACCCTGCAGAGCCATCAAATTTTCCAGTCAACAAGCCTGAATGTCCATTTTACCAGCCCAGTAACATGTAGCTAGTAGTAGTTGCTGGGAATGTCAAATCAGTTCGCCTTGTCTTTACCAGTCTGAAGGTCTTCCTGACCTGTGCCTCGCTGCATATTTTATTCCCCATTTAAAGAACCGTTTTAACTGAAGTTTTGCGGGCAGTTTTGAATAATGGCGAACGGATCTTAGCCGCATGCAAAAAAACGCTTAAGGACGACCCTAAGAGCACTATGGGGGAATAAATTCCAGCCTCGTGCAACTTGTCACAGAGGAAACATTAAAATACAGCCCAAGTAAGTTCTTCCCCTGCAGAGAAAATGTTATAAATCCATAGCAGAGTGAAGCCGGCGCCTTCCCCTCGTCCCCCCTTCCTGAATCATGCTCTCAGCCTAACACGTTCAGAACATTTCAAATGAAGCTAAGTTCAGGTGTCATATTGAATGAGACGGGAACTCTGCTCTGACAGGTTCAGGCTTGCTATCGCTTCAACGCAAAGAGGGAAAAAAAGAGAAAAGGAGACTAGCGATTCCCCAGAGTTAAAAGTGCTTCTTTGTGCTTTTTGTCTTATTTTTCTTTCCTCGGCATAGGTAGAGAAACTTTTCTTGCCAAGTAAAACAAAAAAATAAAATAAAATAAAAAACGGAATGAAAGTCCCTTACTGTAAGCCACACCTGTGTCCTCTAGCTGAACTGGATGGAGATTCTGCTTAGAACCCTGATAAAACTAAGCCTAAAAAATTAAACTAGCTAATGAATAACAGCCGTTTCCTCAGTTTTAAAGATCAAAAGGGGCACATAAATATTTAGTGTTTGTGGTAATTGCATTAAGACGTTTGTCGCGTCGTCTTCGTCTTCCCTGCAACTAAATGATTAAGGATGCAAATGTTTTACACAGTAATCTAGTCTTTTCGCCCAGATCAATTAAAATCGAAGCATCATCAACAAGCAGACCTAGAGATTAGAGAATTCATTTACCAATTTGAAACATTTTCAATAGCATTGTTTAGCGTCAGACCATACGATTTTATGATCTAAAATATCATATATAATATAAAAAATATAATCAATATAAAAAGAAAATCATGAAAATTAAATGTTAATAAATGCCATCCAGTGACATTTTGTACAGTACCCTATTAAAAATATCTTCATTTATTCAGCAGATGTTCAAGAATATTGTTTTCCCCCCATCCTAAACTTTAAATTATTAATAATCGAGAGGAATGTCGGAAAGGGCAGCGAGTCAATTAAAATTAATATATTTCCAATGGTTTCCGTAATGTGTCCATCCCATGCTGACCATGTATGGTGTTGCTGAAGATATCCCGCGCCTTGCAGTATATTAACCGCACGGACATGTGCGGAGGAGACGTGCGGCGCCTGGAAAGGCGGATCGCCCCGCTGCCTCCACATCTTGCCTAGTCTGTAAGTAATACGATCGTAACCTTTCTCCTTCAAAATCAATGCCCACATTTAATGTTTAGAAATGAAATGCGTGGAAGGCAACGCGTCTCACCCCTTAAACGCAAAAAAGAAGACTTCTATGGATATCTTTCGAAATAACCTCGCACGTGAAGCGTACCCCTATGTGACTGGCTGTATTTTTGATATTCCTGGTTTGTACCCTCACTGTGTCTGTAAAATGTGAAACATATCTCTCAATTGCATTTTATGTCGTTTAAATAATGCAGGAGCTGATTGGGGAATAGTTATTAATAGGACTGTCAATGATTTATCACAATAAAAGTCCCTGCTGGAACAGTCTTGTCCCGGCGGTTTCCTCAGTAGGATCTCCGAATAAAAGCACTCTCTGGTGGTCTGGTGACTTTTATCTCTCGCCCTTTTTCTTTCTGGCAGTGTTACTGAGGCCCTTTCATTTTCATTCTCAGCCTCAATTGTTACTTTATTGCAATTACGTTTTTCCACTGGGGCAATTGTGAATTAATTCTCTTTTAGGGGACTTAATGACAGCAAAGCTACGGAGAAAGTCAAGCAGAGACATTATGTGTCATATATATATCCATCTCCCATAACTACTTCTCCAGTGCAGGGTCCTGCTGATCCCCGGGGCCTATTAAAGGACTCAAATGACGGAGAATGACGGGGGACACCCAGGGTGGGGTGTCGGTCCATCACAGGGCACATTCACACACCACAGTCTCACACTCTGGGCAATAGAGAGACCAGTTCAGCTACACTGGGAGCCGTAATGCCCAACAAATAAACACGGGGAGAACATGGAGACACGAAGACAGGGCACCCTGAAAAAATGTCCCCTTAGCTCGCCCCCAACACCCTCCCTTTATATTACAGTATTTTATCTATTCAAGGGCCTTTGTAAAGTGCTGGCCCCTCTGACTGTTAAATGTCTGGACACATCAAGGCACCTACAAAGAAGAGTGACAGCGTCGCATCACATGACCTTGCCACCAGACCTAAACACAATAGAAATGGTTTTGGAGGAGTTTGACCAGAAAGTGAAGGAAAAGCAGCCAATGAGTGTTCAGCATATTAGTGGGACCTCCTTCAGGACAGCTATAAAAGCATCCCAGGAGGCCACCTCATGAAACTGCCGTAGGGGAGACAGTAGGGGCAGCTGGTCCCTGGAGCAACTGAGGTTAAGGGTCTTGCTCAAGGGCCCAATGGTGGCATCGCTCTGTCGACCATGGGATTTGAACCAGCAACCTTCTGAGTTCCACCCCCAAATTTTTTTTTATTTTTTTGCTTAATACATTTTTGGTTAGTACGTAATTCCATATATGTTATTTAATATTTTTGAAATCTTTATAATTATTGTAAAATGTAGAGAATACTACAAATAAACTGTTCTATGGGTAGGCGTGCCTGCCTGGTTCGACTGGTATATGTATTATTATATTACCATTAACCTAGTATAGGACCTTGGGGGCCCCAGAGCCTGTGTCAGGTAACAGGGTACACCGACTGAGGGTGGGGGGTGGCGATCCTTGCATGGTTGACCACCTCATACATGAGCATATTTATTTTTCATATATATATATATATATATATATATATAAATAAAATAAAGGAAGATGGTGTCTCCCTCCATGCACTCACTCCTCGCGGTTGATAATTCCTGAGCGCTGATTCTCTCCTGCCTCATTTCCTCCCCGACAGGTGCAAGTGCAACCTTCACGCCAACAGCTGCATCTTCAACGAACACAAGCTGACGTGCGAGTGCGAGCACAACACCACCGGCCCCGACTGCGGCAGGTGTAAAAAGAACTACCAGGGCCGCGCCTGGAACGGGGGCTCCTACCTGCCCATCCCCAAGGGGACGGCCAATATCTGTGAGTACAGGCCCCTCCCCCTTCTCCCCAAACCATCGCCATGGCGACAGACTCATCTCAGGGGTGGGTCAGTGCTAATGCAAATAAATAAATAAATAAATAAACTACGTAATATGATCAAATGACATGGCTTTGATTAATAATATTAAGCTACTGGACCGATTTGTGCAGGAATAAAGGAATTTCCATCTCTGGCTGGGTGTTAGACACTGATATATCAACATGCCTTGCCAGAGATTTTCGAATTATCAGCATGCACCTGTCAAAAAGCTTAGTGAAGCTGAGACCTTCGTGTCGAAGAGCGTTAACTACGATTAGTGCGTAGAGCCGTTCGTGAGCGGCGTGTTTAAACTCCTCAACGCACTACTCAGGCTCTAATATGCACATGTGGGGGGGGGGGGGTTCGACATAGCTTAAGGCAGATGGGTCTCCCACACCTGTGCTGCAAGTGTAACGTGGCAGGTGTTATGACGGTGAGGTCTCAGGGAAGGGTAGAGCGCACGAGAGGGGCGTCGCTGAACCTCTGGGTGGGGTAATTAACCTGAGCCGCCCTGTCGGAACACCCAGCTGTATATATGGGTAAAATTTTAGGTCACTTTGGTTGAAATGATCAAGAAAATAACATCTGTTTATTGGCTTACATGTGTCTGCGGGCCGGAAACTAGTGCAGAAATATTTTGATGACCCAGTAAATGTATTAAAAACCTAATTTGCATACTCCCCCCTCATAATTTCATACCACTATTAATTTCTTGGCAAAATTATAAATGGATAAAAGTAAACAAGGCAAGACAAAGCTTGCGAACAACACGCCATCAGTATGTGTGGATCAAGTCAGGCTTAGAAGTTCTGGTTTCCAAAGATCTGTAGACATTGGTTTAGCTGGTATTTGCGAGGCATTACACTCCACCGCAAAGCATTGTGGGAAGTCTCACTGTCTGTGAATGTTTATGAATATATTAACCTGTGAATTATTAAGTGAGTGTAATTAGGAAATGGATAGGCCGGTGTTGCGGTGAGCAGATTCTGTCCAGGCAGCCAGGCCTGCCGCTGATTGGCCGCCGCGTCTCTGATGTCCTTCCGAGGACCCGCACGCCATCTTCTTTTATCCTCGTCCTAATCTTGATAGAGATCTGGCCACATCTGTCAAATCCCTGGATCCGGGCAGGGGGCTCATTGCCTTTTTGAAACTAATGCAGCCCGTAATTCCAGCTCGGGGACCGTCGCGGCGGCACCCGGCTCCATCCAGATGGCGGGAGACGGGCACAGGAGCTCCCAGAATGCCGAGCGTGCTCAGGAGCAAAGCCTCCGCCGTTACATCCGCGCCATATGCTACCGTGGCAAGGCCGGCGCGACACTTCACGGGTCCGGGCCAAAGATGAAGTGAAAAGCGAGGAGGAAAGATGTGCCGCGTTCACAGGGAAACTGGCACTTTTATCCAGGAATATTTATTTATTTATCTATCAGCCCTGCTGCTGTGTCTCACAGAGTTGAACCCAAATGGGTTTCAGCAGGACCTTTTAGTGTCAACACAAACTCTCAGAAAAAAGGACTATCTATATCCCTTTATCTCTATATCTTTATAACTAGATAGATATATTATCCCTCTGAGCAAAGGCGTTTTATGAATCTCTCAGTAATGACGCGACAGAGGTTAGAACTGGGATTGACAGCCCGTTATTAAAATCCAACTGCGGGACGCATCTGCTCCGGAGTTATGAAGATCAGTCTAAGCGCATAAAAGTGCAATATTATGACTTGTCGGAAAGAAATGTATAATGCAATATGGCCGCGAGAGGCAGCGATGCTAACCTCTTCCTGGATCTAGCAGTCTGGAGGTATCCCAAACATGATCTGTAATTTTAAAAACAAATCACGGCCACCCTCATGCGGCCTTCGCCGCCAAGATATTAAACATATGGCACTCCTATGAAGACAAATTAGCTTGAAATATGAATTGGATTACTGTTTAATAGCCCTATATGGTCATCTGTTATGTAGTCACCTGAGAAAAGTGTAATAAATCACCATGGTACAAAATTATCGTCCGGCTCTTCTGTGCATATGTGTACCAGCCATGTGAGTACAAGACGCTTTTAATCAAACCGCTGTGTAGGTTTACCGCGGTAAACGGCCCGCTGCTTTTCCAGTTCGTACAGCTAGCCCATGCATTCCGAGGGCTTCTTTATAAATCTCAGACTGAATTAATTCTATTTATTACATCAATTGTCCTTGTATACATATGCGTCCCGGGTTACGATGGTCCATGTTACGATATTTCGACTTTACGACGGGTATGATTATTCAAACACTTTATTATAAAATAGCCTTTGTGTTAATGATTTTGCCCGACTGTAGGATAATGTCAGTGTACTAAGCGTGGTTAAGGTAGGCTAGGCTATGATGTTTGTTAGGTTAGCTGTGCTGTATTGGAATGCATTTTCGCCTTACGATATTTTCAGAATGTAACCCCATCATAACCCAGGGAGCGTCTGCACTTGGTGATAAATGTTTCTGATATATACAGCACCCTCCACAATTATTGGCACCCCTTGTAAAAATTTGTAAAAAGGGTTAGAAAAAAAATCCACCTTTTGGCGAAGCAGCCTCATCTCACACTGAAAAAATGAGGAAAAATCCAATCTTTCATTGAAATAAATTTATTCAAAGAAAAACAAATCCTTCATCAAGAAATAATTATTTCCAACAAAAACACGTGCCACGATTATTGGCACCCCTGCTTTTAATACTTTGTACAGCCTCCCTTTGCCAGTGTAACAGCACTGAGTCTTCTCCTATAACATTTTATAAGGTTGGAGAATACAGAGCAGGGCATCTGAGACCATTCCTCTGTACAGAATCTCTCCAGATCACCCAGAGTCCTCGGCCCTCTCCTGTACACTCTCCTCTTCAGCTCAGCCCACAGGTTTTCAGTGGGGTTCAGGTCAGGGGACTGAGATGGCCATGGCAGAAGCTTGATTCTGCGGTCAGCTAACCATTTTTATGTTGATTTGGACATGTGCTTAGGATCACTGTCCTGCTGGAAGATCCAATGAAGGCCCAGTTTTAGTTTCCTGGCAGAGGCAGCCAAGTTTTGATTTAAATGTCCTGGTATTTCATGGAGTCCATAGTGCCATGTACCCTAACGAGGTTTCCAGGGCCTTTGGAGGAAAAACAGCCCCACAGCATCACAGAACCTCCACCATATTTCACAGTTGGGATGAGGTTCAATTAATTATATCCATCCTTCTGTTTACACCAAACCCACCTTGAATGTTTATTGCCAAAAAGCTAATTTTTTGTTTCATCAGACCATTGAATTTGATTCCAGTCAAAGTTGTAGTAATGTTTTGCAAACTCCTGGCACTTAAAATGTAAGTAACTGACAGAAAAAGTTTCTTTCTGTCATACCTTTCAAATAATCTGTTAGCATGAAGGGGGCGTCTGATGGTTTTTTTCAGAGACGTGGTAACCCCAAGATTTTACGTGGTCTTGTAATTCACCAACAGTCATCCTTGGGGATTTTTTTGCCTCTCTTACGATCCTCCTCACTGTATGTGGGGGCTAAATAAACTTGGGTCCTCTTCCAGGCAGGTTTCTAACAGTTCCAGTTGATGTCCACTTTTTAATTATTGCCGTAATAGTAGAAATGGGCATTTTAAGGCCAGTAGCTATTTTTTTAATACCCATCCCTGACTTATGAAGGTCAGCACACTTCTCCTTCATTTGGTCTGTGTGTTCTCTTATCTTTCCCATGTTGATGGATGACTAAGGGAATTTGGCCTGTGTGTCTCCTCATGTTTGTACCACAGTTAATCAGGAAGTCGTGGATTACAGCTTGAAGGTTCCTATTCATTCCAATCAACTCACAGATGTATAATTTACAAGGGAAACATGCTTTAGTTACATTGTGTTCTTGGCACATGTGTTTTTGTTAAAAATTATTATTTCTTGATGAAGGATTTGTTTTTCTTTGAATAAATTAAATTAATTTCAATTAAACGTTGGATTTTTCTCATTTTTTCAGTGTGAGATGAAGCTGCTTCGCTAACCCTTTTCACAAATTTTTACAAGGGGTGTCAATAATTGTGGAGGGCATTGTATCACCTCACATAATTAGTCTAATTTCAAGGTAGATCATTCCATTGATTGGTAGATGAACATTGAGGACCGTTCCGTTAAGCTTTTAAGAAGGTAAAATTCTGGGGTTTAACAGGCTGACAGGACGGACTTCAGCCACGAGTCGGGGGTTGGGGGGGGGGCTAAATGCCAGCAGGATATTGAAAAAGTCACTAACGTGAGGATGGAGGCCTGTCTCTCTGCCTGCTTGGGGGGGGGGGGGGGGTGGAGTAGTAGATCCAAAATAAGAGGCCATTCAGAACGGCTTCCTGTGTGCCGTGGGGTCTGAACCGAGTGCTCCAATTGGGGTCAAAGCCCGAATTTCTGACTGTGGGATTCTGCATATGTTAGTAGGTTAGCGGCCTTATGTTATCGGCTTGATGAGATGATCTATTCTTCATAAACAATCTGTTCTTCTTAATCCAAATGGAGAAGGAGCACCGACGCAGGCTGTCAGATCGAATGTCTTTCATGAAGTTAGTCGAAAACTTGAAACCGGCAGAACTTCTGCGGGGATCGTAACATGTCAGCGAGCGGCTAGATTGAAGGTGGATTGAAGCCCATTTCATGATTTGACTGGGAAACGATAGGGCATTGTGGGTAATGAGAAAGACGAAAGGGGGCTAATTCCTGATCTCCAAAGGCGGGGGCTGCCATTAGACCTCTGAACAGGTTTTTTTTTTTTTACCCATTTATACAGCTGGCTAAGTCGCTTCAGATGAAAAAGCATCTGAACAAAAGGCGAACACAGAAATGTCTCGGAATTGAGAAGAAAGATTTGAGAGTTTGAGTCATATGTTAAATTTGAGATGTCCGGGGGGGGGGGATCAGGGTGGGGCATGTGCTGACAGGTAAGAAACATGGACATTACCGGCAGCTTCGATTCATAAAAAAACATTTTTTAATTAGTACACACGGTCCCAGCTGCCAGGTGTCTTTACCGCGCCGCGACGTCGTTATTCATCCCAGCGGCGTGATCTGAAAATAAAGACGGATCGCTGTCTCCGCCCTCTCGGTTTTACGGGGCTCTGTTGCGAAAATTAGCAGCAACATATCTATCAAAATAAAAGTCTGATGAACCAGGATTATCGTTCCCATTGTAGGAGACAGTGAGCTAGATAGGAGCGGCCGCACTGTATCGGAGGAAAGCTCTTATCACGCCCGTGTAATGTAGTGTCCCTGGCATGTTTATGTACTTCCCTCTGAAGACCTTACTCAGTGCTCCGGACCCCTTAATGAGCTTTGTTTTTCAGCGCAGAGTCGTCTTCTGTCTTTTAAGAGGGTGTTGATCTCAGCGCCTGTTTTACGAGCATCTGGAGAGCCTGTAAAAGAAGCCATAAGCCCGGGTGTAGTGATGGGGTTTGCCTGATCTGCCCCCTCTTACCATGAGTGCATGGCGCCCCGATCCGGGGTGGGGGCACAGGCGTACACGGGCCCCTCCCTCTCCAAACACCAGCAAGCGCTAATATCCCAACCCAGAATGTAGTATCCATCCAGGGGTGCAGAAATCGGAGGGGCCGTAAACAGGGAGCATAATTGGATGGTACTGGATTAAGGGCCAAATATGATATGCTTTCATGGGGCCCGACATTTCATAGTGGTACTCCTGCACACATCATGCCCACAGTGTCAAGGTGAGCAGTAAAAAGATGGATGGATCTATTTAGGCACACGGGCTGTTGCTCTCAGTCTTTACCTGATGTTCCGGAAAATTCTCCAGTACATTATCTTGCAGCCATCATAATGTCTTAATCACGAGCCTGCCTCTTGAACGTGTGGGTGTTCGCACACACACACACACACACACACACACACACGCATGAGCGCAGGGCCCTGTTACCAAAACGACTTCAGTTCCCCCGGTGATGCAGTGACACCACAAAGGCTCTCTGATCCCCCAGCTCTCTGCTGCCAGCACTTGACACCCCCTTTGTCACAAATCGGATGATGGATGGCTTAAGGGGGGGGGGGGGGGAGGCGGTGGCCTAATCACTACCTCTCCCTGGCACGGAAATTCACCAGATAGGCTTCTTCACCCTTTTCTCGGGCAGCGCTGGGGGATGCGACTCCTCACAGGTGGGTTTGAGATCACCGCCAGCCTGCCGGACATCCAGGGCAGAGAGGCGAGCTGACGGGCCGCGTCATGCGACAGCTGCGGCATTGACGAGCTTCACTGACACCCAGCTGGTGAAGCCTGGGCTTAAGTGGACTGTTTACGAGATTTACATGGCGGGGTGCACTGATTGGTGGGCTGACCATCCAATAGGATTTCATCCAGCCCAATTTAGGCCTCCAGAACAGTGATATTACTTCTGTGTTAACAAGCAAAGACAGACAGATGGATGGATGGACAGTTGGATGGATGGATGGATGGATGTATAAATTAGGGAAATTAAGGATTATGAGATAAATGTAATGTTAGCCAAGTTCATAAGAAAATGTTATGTCATGCACCCCGTGATATAAATTACATATGTTTGAGTATGTGTGATGGACATAATCCGGTATAGGTATTCATAGTGTGCTGCAGTCTGTTTTATATGCTGTCCAGGATTGTGTTATGGCTGGAGTGGAGGCTGTCATGTTGAGGGAGGGGGGGCAATAAATGGGTGTGTACCAAATGGATTGTGTTTATCATCCATCTTCCATAACTGCGTATTCAGTACAGGGTCTGACTCCAGAGCCTGGATGGGGACATAACTCGGTGGGGTGACAATGGTTGGGGATAATCTCCCAGTACGGCCGATTCTGGGGGGGAATTTCACCCAACAGCATGTTTAGATTTGGGAAACGAGTTAAACACCCATGGAGACTGGGATGCGATGGACATGCAGAGACTCAGGGTGTGATTCCAGGGTACATCACTGCAGTTAAGACGAAAGTGCCCTTATGATATCTCCCTGAACCTGTCACACCGTGTCACAACACTGTGTCATAACACTGTGTCATAACAGGGCAGGACGGATGACCAAAAATATTTTTCTGGCACAGCTCAGACATCTTAAGAGGCGATCTGGCCCACAGATTGATCTCACTGACAGTCGTCTGTTGGGTTGGGGGGGGGGGGATTGTTGCCGGGCCAGGAGCCTGAAAGCACTGGGGGGCCGGAGCGGGGCAGCCAGGCCGGAATTCGACAGACAAGAAAAATCACGGCGAGAAGTCAGGCAAATTTACCGCCGCCAATTTGTGTGATTCCTGTCATTCTGGACGAGACACATCCACAAATAAATAACTTCTACTAGAAATACCAGTTTATATTTACAAGGACGGTTTGTTTTGAAATGAAACACTGTGAAGCTCTGAAATATGCAACTTAGTCTCCTTATGCCAGATTTTTTTCTTTTTCTTCATGTTGACCTTGATACTGACCACGTTATGAGGACTGATCTTGCTAAACCGGTGGGGGGGGGGGAATTGGCATCCAGACAGGAAATGTCAAACATTTAGGTACCGTCAATGGCATGGGGGGGGTCTATGGTAGTTGTTTTCTTGATGCATTTGCTTGCATCATTGAACATAAAAACAGTTGGATCAATTGAAGATTGGAGCATAGCCTGCCTTCCTGATGGCAGTGATAGTGGTGAACCTTCTCTGGGCTGCTAGAGAGCATGACCCTGGATCCGTCGCACCTGGGCAGATTCCACTGCCGGCTTGGTGCCCATTTTGGCACAGAGCATCATCTGTTCTTCCTGGGGATTCAGGGAGGGTCCCGGATTTGTGCGTAAATCTCTCCGCATGCCTTTGGTGTTCGGAGGGTGTTATGATGCGTGAGTTTGGGTACACTGTTACATCCGATGACAAATCTTTAGTGCTCACATCAAAAAGCACCTGCAAGAATGCTCAGGCCTGTGTTATTCGTCGTAATTATCTATATCGAAGGCAATGGAGATCAAAGATAACAATAGATTCTGAATTATCTTCTATACAACAGGTAAACATGCGATTTTCACGTGTGTGTGTGTGTGTGTGTGTGTGTGTGTGTGTGTGTATCTATCCCTTCCTGAAAGCAGCGGTTCATGACTGTCTTTTAACGTGTTTTGTCTCTTTTTTTCCAGGTATTCCCAATAACCTTGGTCCAGTTAGTAAGTAAAAACAAGAATTCCCTAAATGAACGTGGTAGAGGAGTCCCTGTGCTTTGTCCACCTGGCATGAAATGTTCATTTCTGGTGTATTTCCTCATCCCACGCTGACTAATTGAAGTGACCTGGAAATGATAAGTGCCAGTAAAAGGTCACGGGCACTTAAAAGGGCCTCACTGAATGGCGATATGAGTCTCCTGAGCCCGACTGCCTGCGTACACAGAGGGACAAGTACAGCAGAATCAGTGTTAGAAGTATCTGAGAGGCTTTTAAAACTCCTCAAAAGATTAATCCCAGCTTGACTGGGAGCTGATGGCCGGTCACAGTCTGACATTCCTCACCTCTGGGTGCTTCTGGTCAGCTGAACAATTTCACGTATCACCTGCAGGGGCTGTGGGAAAACCTCACTTGCCAATTACGATGTCTGAGCATTAAATAGAGGTCTGCTCAGCCATCGTCCCAAAGATACTTCATTTTTAATACATGAATAATTAGGTCCAGCCCAATGATACAGACCAATGTTCCTCGATCCGGTCCTCGGGGACCCACCCAGACAGTCCACGTTTTTGCTCCCTGCTAATCAAGGACACAAAATACCTGGTACTGGTGTGTTGAGAGCTGGAAGGGAGCAAAAGTATGGACTGTTTAGAGGACTGGGTTGAGAAACACTGATTTAGACAATCATTCAGGCAGAAGCATAAGACGACTGAGTTGGGTTATTTCGCTTCCTGGTGGATTGTGGGAAAAGCCTTGAGTTCAGGAGTCAGAAATGAGCATTTCCATGAATGGGCCTTTCGGCGCTTTCTGCTGCTGTTCCGTCCCGAGCATGAGCTGCACGGCTCCGCCCCCTGCTCTGCATGCCCCTCCCCCCATCCCCCACCACGCTTAGCCGGTCACTCCATCCTTTGTCCTCCATGTTCACATCTTCATCCTTAATGGGGAGTCTCCATGCCGGGCTGGAATTTCGTGTGAATGGAAAAGACACGTGGTCAGTCAGGGGTAACAGTCTGGTACCAACTCCAGCATCAATTCTCCGCCTCCAAACTCAAATCCAAAAGGCAGTTTTGGGGGGTGGGGACACACCGCATCTCCTGCTGTACATGCTGAACAGCAGACTTAGCCAATTTCAGGAAAAGGAAACAAAAGTTATGACTCATAACCCCGAATAGACTATTCCGGAAAATAATTTTACCTTTTCATATTGTAAAAGTGAACACTGATTCACTTTTTTTCCTAGTGAATTTTCATATATATTTTATGCCCAGAGTTGCCCAGCCATAAACTAAACCAGATGGAAAACAAATCTTTTACTGCAAGGTTTCCTTGCGCCACTGGAGGGCTATTGATTAAGTGATTAAAATCTACCCCTTCTCCTTCAGTTGTACTTTACAAAATAATTAGTGGAAGAAGACTGCTAATGTTTATCAGAGCTAAGGTTGCCTTCGTTAATAGCGGCTCTTGAAACCGCTGTTAGCTGTGCAGGTATCGTGTTGGATAAGCAGTGCTCAGATGACACGTTCTTGAAAAACAAAGACATCGTCTTGTAAGCCTCCAGTTAAATCTCATTTCATTTGACTGCAGCCTTTACGTGTCGAATACGTGTCTTTTCTCTTCCCGACGTATTTAAATTTAGCCGCTGTTGAAAATGAAAACGAGAGACAGGGGTTCCCATTAAGGGCTGTGTTTCTTATGTAACATCATGCGACAATGGCAGCGATTAAAACCCTTCCAAAAAAAAAATACAAAAAAATGTTACGGAGCTTGAACTGGCAAACAAAGTGGATTGCACAGATAAAGCAGCCTTTTCATTATTATAGGCTACACAGGAAACATCTTTAAAACGCTCTTCACAGTTTATTCAAACAGAATTTACTTCACTGAGGCTGTCAAGAAGAGAGCAAGTGTTGCTCAAATGCTGTCACAATACACACACGTACACTTTAGGTTGCTGTCAGTATTTATACCACAGCGATTCAGCCGTCCTACACATTAATGCTCTTGTGTAGAATTATTCAGATTCTCCTTTGTTCAGATAAAAATCCCAGGTCAGTGAGCAGCATGCAGACACCGGATAATAATATTTAGTACTTCTGCCTGTTTGTTTGCTTTTTGTAGTGGGGGGGAGGGGGTGAGGATTTTTGAAGTTCCCCCGCTGCCGTCTTTGCCCGACAACAACGCCGAGATCCCCATTCCCAGCCACCACCACCCGCTATTTCCATCACGGAAATGCAGAAATTGTATGTAATTACGAGGTGATGGCACGCAGCGATGGCCTGTAAGCCGATACTTCACAAAATCATCAATGGTGATGATGAAATAAAGCTAACGTCTTGTTCGACACCCTCCTGGATGAGTGTAACCATCTCCAGAATCGCCGACGCAGGAGTCGGTCACAGAAAAAAATAAAGATACGGACCCTGGTTACATACAATGTGTCACCTTCCTGGTCCTCGGCTACGTTGCTCGTCTTTGTTAGGCTTGCAAGTCATACATGTATGTGCAAGAGCATTCTGACCACCCCGAGCCAGGAATGTGTGTAGATGTCTGTGTCTATCCCAGCCTGCCCCGCCCCGCCCACCCCACCCCCAGTCAGCCTATGTGCTCTGAATAACCCACAATCTCTTCCGATTCCATGCAGTTCGCCCGAATGTATCATCTCTAGGGGTGGCAAACCGAAACCAAGGTAGGCTCTGCAACTAGAGTAAGATGGTTATCAGACTAATAACAATCATATAATAATAATTAAGGAAACCAGCATTATGATAGAATTAGAAGCATTTAAGACAGTGTTTCCCAATCCGGTCCTTGGGGACCCACAGACAGTTCCTGTTTTCACTCCCTCCCAGCAAAAATGTGAACTGTCTGTCAGGGAGCTGGAAGGGAGCGAAAATATGCACTGTGGGCCCCTGAGAAGCAGGTGGGGAAACACTAATTCAGGACAATTTGTTTGCCTGTGTCAACAAAGACATGTAACACTGCAATGGGACAGTGGTTCCTCTGTAGTTCATGCCACTGGTTTAGGAAGCATGAGTGTTCTTCAGGATCTGGGCTGCCGATGATGAACATGTGGACCAATGACGTTTGAGGAGTCCCCTCGATATTTTATTAGCCAGCTTCTTATTGGACAGTTTTGTTGCCAGTCTTTCAGGTGGAGGTTAGACAAGGAGATGCTTTAGATTTCTCATTGTAAACAATTTCAGGTCCAATACACTGCACTCATGAAGCACAGCGCAATCTGGCAGTTGGCCTGTGTTTCTGCACTTCTTGTTATGAGGGTTAAAAAAAACCTTAAGCAGCAACTCTCAGCTGACATGGGAGCCCAAAACGTCTGGCATCAGGGTCTTCCAGAAGGGGTGGCAGCTGAACTGGGGCACGCCATCCCCCCTAGGCCTCACATGGAGGGGCTGTAGGGCGGCGCGACAGGGCGGGAGTCGCTCACGGCCAGATGACAGCACAGTGACTGGGCCTCATTCTTTACTGGGCCACTCGCTGTCAAACCAGAGTGTCTTAATCACGCCAGCGGGGGACACACGCTAACAAAATCAGAGGGAGGCAGCAACACGAGAGGGATGGCACAGGGCGGGTGGGGAATCTAGGACTGCGAACACAACAGAGCCGGCGCTGGGACCGGCCCGCATGCCGCGGCACCCAGTAGTCAGGAGTGTATTTTTAAACGGCACCGTTTCTTTGCGAGGGTCGAAGTAAGACATGTGACGTGCGACGGCGAACACGGAACGCGGTCACAGAGCTCAAGACGCGTCTGTGAGGAGAATTCTCTTCCCGGGAATACATATGCTTTTCCCCCAGACTGGAGCCTCGCAGCGTGATGCTTCATAAGACCCCCGGCAGGGTGGCACTTTAAGACCTTGTGCTTCAGGATCAGGTCTTACCTCCCACATATGGTTCGCATATGTGCACTTTTGCTGCTTTCATCGCGCAGTCAGCTACAGTAAGTTCCACCTCAGTGGCATCAGTTGCTTATTTCTTTCTTTATAGTCTGCCAAGTCGCTTTAAAAGTTGAAGGTACGAGAGGTTAGATTCCGGATCCCGTCTGCCTCCGCCGTGTCACATGATGCCGCGGCTCTGACATCACATGACCGCGCCAGCTGGCACACGACTAATCCTAACCTTTCCCATGGCCAGAGTTCCTGCCCTGCAAGCTGTGTTCCCCGCCCAAATACTTCAATTTCTGCTGTTTTTGAAAGCTAATTTATTAATACTTTGTTCGTATTTTTCTGGTATTTATATATAGTAGCATAAACATTTCTTATTTCCGGAGTGGTATTAAAATATTATGCATTGCAAATAAAGTTTACTGTTCTACATAGTGAAATTCAGTCTTAAATGTACATTTTCAGAATGTATTGTATTTCCATGAAAATGTAAATATGTAGTACATTTACAACCAGGTTCATTTGTCACAGTTAGTTCCGTTTTCTTGTTGTTCCGTGAAACAATTTTTAAGATAAGTGTGAGGAGTGAGGTGTACATTAGCCAGACAAGGGCAGCATGACAGTCAGTGGGTTTTAACATGAAATCATGTGATACAAGTCTGACTGCTGGTGCATCTGATAGATGGATCAAGGATCGACGACCTGCCTTTGGTTCGCTGCCAGGAGCAGAGTGGTTAAATACACCTTAATGTGTGAAATCTTAAGGTCGTTTCAAATTCGGCAGCTGTTTGTTTAAAAGTTCGATCAGGTGAGACCTCATCATGATCTATGATCTGTGTAATTTTCACCAGGTGCTAAATGCTATTTTTATCCTCTTCCATAAAACCTTAGCGTGCTCAGTAACAGACGGCATTCCAGAAGATAGATTCATCTGACACTGTGACTTGACGTCTGTCGGTCGGGTGTCCTATACGTTTCGGGTGACGTCTGTGTCATCAGTATCACTGATGCTTAATTGAAGATCGACCCCCCCCCACCCCTAATGACTGAAAAGAATCTGAGTTTGTGTGAGGATGCTCTCTCCTAGCTTGATACTTCAGCGTTTCAGTTTTGTTCTTTAGCTTTAAATTGTTGCGGTGCAGAGATATTTTTCTTGTCTATTGCAGACTCCAACCTGAAGAGGCAGCTCTTAATAAATGCACTCTAAATTTAAAAAGACAGAAAGCACAATATTGCAATTGCAATATTGCAATTAATCCATGCTCATTTTGATTTTGAATGCAGTACTGTAGTGTATCCAAAATATATACCTGTTTGGGCTCTTAATTCCTTTCATACACTATCAGATGTTTGAGAATTTTAGCTTTTCTTTTTTTGTTTTTTTGTTTTTTAACAAAGTTCCAGCTCCTTGAATTAAATCCAGTCGTACAAGATGAAACCTGCAAGTGAATTTATCATGAATCTGTCATGTCTGCCACGGTTAAATGCTGCATAGTTGTAGTTCTCATTTTGTGTTGTCTGACATCGCTTTTGCTCCATCCATCGTCATGTTGCAGAAACGCAGTGCCGGCCGCTCACGCGCAGTGCCTCCCGCAGTCTCCCGTCATGCCCTTCCCCGCGCGCCTCCACTGCAGCTGCGCATGCGCTGTGCCCTCTGCCTCACACACTGTACATCCCACCTGCCTGTCTGTTCTTCTTTGCAAGGCTGCGAATGCAACGGCCACTCCAACCGGTGCAGTTACATCGAGCTGCTAAACACAGTCATTTGCGTGAGCTGTAAGCACAACACTAGGGGGCACCACTGCCAGTTGTGCAAACTCGGCTACTACAGAAACGCCTCGGCACAGCTGCACGATGAGAATGTTTGCGTAGGTCAGTTTCGCCACTGCGATCGACACTGACTCTCGTGTCCATCAGTCATTCGTGCTCCGTTGCCCATTCTGACCATTCCATTGTTTTTTTTTGCCTTTTTCACTGCACAAGCACGTCGGCTGTGTGTGATTCTCATTCTGTCCCCAGCAAACAAAAAAGCAAAAAGTGAAAAATAAAGTAAATTATGTTAAAAAAAAAAAAAAAAATGAACATCTGTATCAGCACCCCTCACAGACGTCGGTCAGGACATTTAGACGTAGACCGCCAAAGTTCCTCTAGTTTCTTTCCAACTTGAGGCTCATTTCGATCATATGATTCTTCATTTAACGCTAAATGTCGATAGCAGTGGAAACAAAAACAACATGACAAAAGAAATCGCCTTATAGTCACAGAACTAAAAATGTATTCATGTATAATTTACAGTACATATCTAAACTCCCCATTAGGAGACATTTTAGAGTTTAACAGCCTCCCCCCTCATGTCCCAGACCTGGAAAGGCAAGTGGAAGATGGTTGGGGTGTAAGAGCCAGACAGCTGTCAAAAAACAAACAAGAATATTAAACTTTAAATTGTGTCGTTTATATCAGCTTAATTGTCCAGTCAGTACCGGTCTAAGCTGATGTGTCACCCTAGGCGAGCATCAGCAGCAGTCCCCCCCATTAAAGGTAAAGTGAAATTGTCTTGCTAAGTCAGTTCCTCCTCAGAAGTTGGTGCCCTAGACGGCCGCCTATGTCACCTGTAGGATTGACCAGCCCTGTGTACAGTAATGGGACAATAATGGTAGGATCTCCCGGCAACTAGCCATTAAGAGTTAGGAATGGGAAAATCTCAGGGGGTCTCTCAGGCATGTCCCAACACCTGGAGGTGTTTAAATTACTAGCACTCTTTGGTGAATTGGCATCACCTCGTTGCCAAGTAACAGCGGGAGGGCGGGAGTGCAAGTCACCCAGAGAGATATCTGCCAGTCTGGTTTCTCTGTCAAGGGGAAATTCAGTCTTTGGTGGGGTGGTGGGGGCGGGGGGGAACCAAGGCTCTCAATCCAGCGAGGCCGTCGAGATGCTGCAGGAGCATGATGTGACTGACATCTGACAGCATCCAATCAGAATTCAGATTTTATTTTTGGGGCAGGTTTTATCTGAAGAAGCTACCGGAGGTGTTACTCTAAAAAGGTTCCCAGCATAACACCCGGTTAAATTCTTATGGAGCAGTTACCACGTTTTTCTGTCCAAATTCTCATTATTCATTCATTTATGCAAATATTGATGCGAGTAGTGTAAAATTAATCTTGGCATTATAATTATCACTATGAATGTCTTCAGCTAAACTAATTTTGCTGGGCAATCTTTAATAACATGGTTTTTTTTTTTGCAGATCAAAGTTAACTGTAATTAACATATTTCGCTTTCCATGCATAGATTTTTGCTTTATTTTTTTTTTATTTTTAAAAAAGAGAGACAAAGTCCATTTCAATATTTGTTGAATATGTGGCAGCAGAATGGTAGGTTTCCAAACTTGGTAACCCAGTGTAAAAGAGATGTCCAGACTCTGCTAATCCCATCCTCAGCCATAATACCAAAGTCTTACAGTTAATGAGCAAAGGGAGGTTAAAGGCTTTCAGGTTAGACTACAACTGGAATTGAAATAAAACTTAGTGCCAAGCAGCCTGTTTATATTGCACAGAAGGTGGCAGAAATGCTAACATAGGCCATAATGAGCTTGCATAGTTTGGATTAGTGTCTGAAAATACAAGAGGGTGCTTGAGATTCATGATTCAAACACATGCACACAAGAAGAGCCTGTCAGTTCATGCTAGAAGTACAGAATCATACAACAGAGACTTATTCACTCCCATTCATGAATAAACACAGAATGTGTGGAGGCGGAGCCTCTTCTTCACCAATCAAATGCATGGAGAGAGAAAGGGGCGGGGCATGGGGCACTATTAGCATCCTCAAAGCTCCGCCCCCTTAGCACACTGCACAAAACAGTTTAAACCAGAAAGAATAGCAAGCATTAACGGCATGGGCTGAATCAATGGGAAGGCTGAAAGGAGTATCGGTTTTCGTGACCGATTTCATATAAATGATCTAAATAACCTAAGAGTACCCCTTGGATTTGTTACCATCATCGTTCATCATTGTCAGCAACCATTAGAATGAATTCTGAATCCATCCACCGCTCAGGCATAATTCTGAAGAGTTTTTATCATCATCGATATTAGCTAAGAGATTTCAGAAATTTATGTCTGGCGATTATTCCTAAAATATTGCTTGCTTCCTCTCTAAAATAAAATGCATCCACGGGAGGCTATTTTTAAATGCCAGTGTATGAAAAGGACACGCCGGCTCATACTGTTATTAAAGTTCAGATTTAAATTACATTTGGTTACCACGGTTTACCGGTATCCCGCATGCCAGGAATATGGCCACTTGATTCCATTTAGCAAGAATGGAGAACGTTTACATTTTCTGACATGTGTTTCCCATCCATCGTAGGTTAATGTCACTCCTAGCATCCCAAAGAACATTCTCATCACTTTAAAGCATCACTCTTTTTTTTTGTTTAAAGAAATGCTTTTTGCCGTTTCAAGTCAGCCAAGAATAATAATAATAATAATAAAAAAAACAGGGTTTCTGTGAATTCAGAAGATTTCTTTTAATAGCATTAATAACAGTAACAGGAGCTGTGAAGGTGATAAATGAGGATCTGCTGTGCGTGTGTGTGTGTGTGTGTGTGTGTGTGTGTGTGCGCGCGTGTGCACGCGCGTGTTTGTGCGTGTGTCTTGTTCCTGCAGAGTGCAATTGTAATCCCTTTGGCTCCGACGGGGATCACTGTAACAGCACCGGATTTTGTAAATGTAAAGCAGGAGCGACGGGCACTAAGTGTCAGGAGTGTCTGCCCGGATACTTGTGGAGCAGTGGCTGTAAATGTGAGTAGACGCCTGCGCTGTGGGCATGACCCTGCCGCCCGCCCCCCCCCAACCAGAAATGTGCCAGACCTCCTATCACAGAGATGCCTACCTACACTGCGTTCTATTTATCTAGCAGATGCTTTTGTCAGAAGTAATGTACTGCTGGGAAAGCAGAGTTAACAGAGTTACAGAGTTAAGGGCCGTTTTCAGGGGCCCGACGATGTCATCACTCTGCCAACAACAGGATTTAAACCAACAACCTAGCGATTATGGGAGTCCTAATCCACAGGGGTACACATCACCTCCTTCCCAAACCCTGTTGTTCTCCTGCTCTACACGCAGCCCTGAGTTCTCTTACTCTATCCCCCTTCTACTCTGTCCTCCTCCCCCATGTTTATGGTACTCAAAGCTGGATGACCCTCCCTGTGTGTGTGTGTGTGTGTGTGTGGGGGGGGGGGGTATATTTCAAATGCATTCCACAGCTCAAAGTCGAGGCACCCGAATGCTGTCCTATTTAGCGAGCGCCCTGCAGCGCACCGTTGGTTTCTGGTGCACGGTGAGAGTAGAATTATTTAAAGTCAGGCTAATTAGTTTACTTTGCCTAGATTGGGACACTCAAGAATTTACCCATATAATACATCAGCGAAGGAACAGAAGAGGGGACCAGGAAACAGAGGTTATGCTAATCGTTGTGGATTCCACATCGCGAGGTTAGGGCCAGCAGGAGGCGCTCCACGTCACGCCATCCTGATGTTTTCATTACCGGAGAAACGTCGCAGCTCTGATGGCTCCTGTCTCGCCTCATATTTCAAAAGGGTTGTGAATCATAGAAAGCCTAGTCTTTGCTGGTGTGGCCCCAAACTGAGCTGGTATAGACACGGGGTAGGTGGGGGGCGGGGGGGAGACAGCCATGGAGGGGGCCCACATAATTATCCCTCAACTGTTTTTAAACTCAGCGCCCCAATCCTCTGATGCATAAAAATATTAAATTAAAAAAATACACAGTCGGCCTCAACTAAGCCAAAACCTGAAGCGACCGGCAGGGCTGACCACCCCTGCCCCCCTTACCCAGTGCATTTGGCCCGATCTGAAAGGAAAACGCGGCGTGGGGTTTGAAAAGAGGCCCGAGGCAAGGCGGCCGCAGTGAGGGGCTGCGAGACAAAGGCGGCTTTTACCTCCAGCGAGCGCCTGTCGCTCAGACTGGCTTGTTTATGGCGAGTTATTAAAGGTAAATAGGCGCGGGGCGGGCGACCCGAATCGATAGGAGCGGCGGCGCGGCCGCGGAACAGGTGCGCGGGGCACCATGCACCGGGAAAAAGGCGAAAACAGCATGACCCCATGTTACTTTCCCCCCGGGGGGGCTTATATATAACTATTTAAAAATCACACATACATATATAAATATATAAAACATATGAATAAAAATATTACTAAACAGTAATAGATATAGAAATGCAACGAGTAGGGTTGGAATTTATTATATGATGCAAACAACAATCAGAAGTGCAAAGGTGCGCTTTAATTTTAAAATGCTGTCGCCGAGGAGGAAAAACACGCGCACCAAGAAAAGGCGCGTTCACACCGACGGCAGCTGTTAATGAAATGTCAAAGTACAGCTTGCGAGCGGCTCATCGATCAGGGGGAGCCATGCATCACCGAAAGCCGCGTTTTTATGGATCGCGTTTGTTTTGCTAAGTGACACCTCTCGCTGCGCGAGATTTTTTAAGCCCGGATTCCCATCGCGTCGGGCATGCCGGCAGAAGAAAAAAGGGAAGTACTGCATAGACTTCTGTACCTCCGACGAGGATATGGAGCCTGGCATGTCATCTGTATGCAGATTAAAATATGCAATTAAAACTCGAAATCGCACGTCAAATAATCATTTTCTTTGCGTGCCTCCGCAAATATTGTTCCCGACAAATAAGGTAAACGCAATAAATCCCGCAATCATTTTTCATCGCCCGGTCTGTTTACATATGCAGGGATAGCTGATTTGGGAGTCAGGAGGATAAATGGCCGTTTTAGGCCTGCCTCTCTTCTCTGAAATGCCATTACCGTCGCTGGACTTTTGGGGATCGTGGCATTAATTGTGTGAGGGAGACGTAATGTGATTCCATTTGATTTCAACTGGCCGCATGATATAACATTTGTCTTATAATCCATAATTTCCCCTATCTATCTGTCTGTCTGTCTATCTATCTATCTATCCTTTTGCTAGAAATCTATTGTCTAAGGAGCAGTCAGCAGAACCCAGTCTAACCATGTTTATCTAATCTAATCAAATATCATTGCCATTTATTTGTACGTATTTTCAATGTACATAGACAGTTTCAAATGGTACTAACACTAATGACATTATTGCGTATGACATCTATTTGTTTTTAGGCATTTTGCCAAGCATAAATCATATTATGTCTGTGTGTAAAGGGACACCGCGAGGTATTGCCCCTGCATTTTCCCATCATACAGTCCCGTAATTACGGAGTCCCCTGGGGTCAACTCTCCTCTGAGTAATTGGGTTTTTTTATACAATTAAGAAGAACTTAAACATCCCGCAGGTTCCATTTTCATATCCAAGCCCCCGTTTGGTTGTTTGTTTGTGTCCGGGGCATTTAAATGGCCCATAACTCGCAGACGTTAGATCGATGTCAGCTCTCTCCTGCTATATTCAGTCGACAGAGACTTAATGCTATTATGAAGCTGCTAATTGCACAATGTTTTCTGAAAGCGCAACGTTATACGTGGGGATTTTATTTCTTGGCTGGGTTGGGGGGGCAGGGGGGTGGGGTTTATGATGGGTAAGTTGCTGAGATGCTGTCCTGTGCCCTGTTGCACCTAGAAGCTGTAAATAAATGGTTGTTGTCGATATTGCTAATATTGACCAATCTTGTGGAGACAGACAGCCCTATTGACTAAGAACCAAAACACTAAATCCACTCGGACTCCATCGCCTTTGCCATTGCTAGTCAAATAGAAAACTGGGGAGTCTCCATGATTATACATAACACCTAAACGGGGTTACAACTGACAGCTGCATCTGTCAGAGCCTCTATCACAATGCCGTCTGCCTCAAACTCATTGTCGGTTTGATGCAAGGTCCTGACCAATCAGGGCTGTCGGCTCAGAATCCTGTCAACCCAGTGTGGTGCCTTTTGCTGGATCGACTCATTTCCTGTGGTTTCCCCACGGTCTGCAGCCCCGGACCTACTTTACAGTGGCCTCTGAAGATACCCAACTCAGACATGGTGCCCACTGAATATCGTCTGTTGGCCTTTAGTCCAGCTGGGATCTTAATGGAGACTTAATTATTAATTAGCCTAAATTGAGATTATATCTGAATGCATTGCAAATCTGAAATCACATCACACTGCTTCAGGACTATAAATTTTATGCAGCTTATGCAGAACGAAAGAATTCCACATCTGTAGCATGCATTTGTGCCAATAATACATCGCCTTTATGTGATCATTCATAAGAAAACAGAATATTAATTCATTTAAAGTGAATTTTCGGAAATCTTAATCAGTCCATACAGGAGCCTAAGGCTACTAAACAAGTCGGAAGCTAATTAAAAATGAAGCTGTATTATTAATTTTAAGGGGCATAACCCTTAAAGACAGTGGAACAATTCTAATAATCTTTAATCATTATTATATTGTTTAACACAACTGAAGAATTAAAGCGAATGTAAGCAATTCATTTAAATGAGGAGCTCAGTCATGACATTTATGATGGAGCTGGATCATGTGGTTTGCTGGCTTTGGAATAGGTCTCTGAAAAGACCCCTGACGTCACCTAGAAGTGTCAGGGGAGAGCCCCCGGAACCCTGAACGCATAGGCTGGACATGTGTACAGCAGCTCGCCGAGTACAGGCCGATACCTGAGCACCAATGTCCGCCATGTACAGAGGGCCTGCTGGGTAGCGTCTGGCTGGCTGAAGCTCACGTGAAGGCCTTGGCCAGCTTCACCATCAACACCCTCCCCCCCTCAGTGTAAGAGGCATACAGATAAAATAAAATTGTCTTGCTATGTCGGCTCCCCTTCAGCAGATGGCGCACTAGCCTGTCACCTAATGGGTTAGCCAGCCTTGTTTATCGATAATGTCCTGCGTCACATTCTCCTCGTTCACAGGTGTTTTTATCTGAACCGACATTCAAGTGACGCAAACAGTACATTGCAATGCATGCTGTCAGATGGTCAGAAGTGCAGCTAGCTGAACTAACAATGAACGCCCAGGTACAAGTGTAAGCCATATTCGAGCTGGAGCTACCGAACAACTTGTAACAAAGCAAGAACCAAATAAAACTATTCCAGGACCAGAAGTGCTACATAACATCACATCCTAAACAGTTACACGAGATCCCCTTTCTGATGGACAGACTAACCCTTACAGAGGAGACAGCAAGAAGGCAGAAGGTGACATAGGGCCTCACCCTGTGTGTTTATCAGAAATCATCAGCGCTAACACGCGTCCATGCCCACACTGCGGATGCACGACAAGGCAGCTGGAGTTTGCTCCATTAAGGAGGGAACTTTCACGGGGAGCAGGAGTAGGAGGAGATGATACTGCACTCTGAGAGCCACTCCTTATGGAGTGATTACTCACGAGGGGAGTGGAATTGACTTTGATAACCTCAGGAGGAGCACGCTTGACAACCCACTCAACCTCCCTCTCTGCTTCTTTTGCTAATTCATCTCACCACTGAGCAGTTTTTTGTTTTCTTTTTTCTTTTTATTTTTCCTTCCTTTCTTCCCCCCCCCCCCCCCCCCCCCCCCCCAAATCCCCACGGAGCCCCAGAAATAGCACAGCAAGGTCTGTGTACGGTCACCATCATAAACAACCGGCCATGAAAACTATGCTGCAAAGTCAACCCTAGCCACACCAGCTCTGCGCATTGTCACACATACCGTGTTTGCTTTAGTGCATCTTAGGAGACTTTGCATTATGGGAATCGGTTACATTTCCTCACCACTGAGGTTCTGAGCATCTGCCTTTGAAGGATTTGCTTGATACGTTTCGCTCTTTCCGAGCTTGACGTTTTTACAGCTCAGTAACCAGGAGAAGAAGCTGCTCATTGGCTGACCATCTCATGTGACTAGAGAATATGAAATATTATCATGAGTGGTTTCTGAAAGCTGCCATACATTCAGGTGATTAATGACGTTAATACATTGTCTAACACCCCACTGTCACATGTGAATTAACTGAAGCCATAACGATCAAATACTGACAGAAAACACTCCTGGCTAAAATATGGCTAGAACCTTTTTGGAAGTTCATCCGGAGGATAGGTACCATTTTGCCTAGTCATGAGAAAAGTGGTCCATTTCTCAGGGGGGGAGCTTATCCGTCTGCTAGTCACCCGAGTAGTTAGGACACATGGTTAGGATTGGTAGAATGGTGACCGTTTTTATTTTGAGCGTGTATATCGGGCACAATCCAGAGGTTAGCAGGCTATGCTGGTTTAGTTCAACCTCAGCTCTTAACTGCCTTTGTAACAGTAATTAATTGTACCGTTAATCAGCACTTCTGGTGGATGTTAATTAGAACGTATCCTCTAAGATCTACAGACCCAGACAGAGCTAGACAATCTTCATACAGAGTAACAGAGTCACATAGTTACCACACTTCCTTTGGAAAGGATCAAACTGCTTACGTATATCTGACAAATACTGTACAACTGCATCCTCAGACACATCCAGCGACTTGTTTTCGCTTCCTTTTCTCCAGCATCGTGTGTATGTCATCTGGGACAGACGGGATTCCTCTTGCTGTTCGCAGCCTTGTCAGTAAACTCACACAAAGGACAGTCTGATAATTACCAATTCTCAGGGTAAAGCTTTTGGGTGGATCCACTGTTTCTGATATCCGTATCGCATTGGGAATAGCGTAATGGCACAATCTGTTTCAAAACAGCACTAATGAGTCACCGACGTGTGGTCACAGTCTGCAGTGACATTCGCTTTTCCATTTTAAAGCCAGCATACGGTATTTTATGTTCTCCTGGCTTGTCTTGTGGTTTAGTCGACTCCCTATTGAAACTGACAGCTTAAAGCTGCTAATCTGATATCTTTTGTGGGAAGTGTGCATTGTGAACGCAGGTGAATGAAAAGTGTTTTAGTCACTAAACATCGGTCTAGTCAAACACTTGGAATGTTTTGTGGTTTAAAGACTCTTTAATGGTTTAAAAACACCTGACGACACAATGTGGTTTCTACTGAAATGTTTTTAAGGTCTTTGATCCCAAGGTTCAGCTCAGACGCTCTCCTCTCCTTCCCTATCTCACCCCCCCCCATTCCCTGCACCCCCACTCCCACACCAGCTCGAGTGTGCGACAACATGATGCTCCGTTGCCAGAACGGCGGCGTTTGCCACGGCAACCTGCGCTGCCAGTGCCCGGCAGGATTCAGCGGCTTGCTGTGCGAGAAGCCGCGGTGCGCAGGTGAGCCAGGCGGCTGTGACGAGGGCTCCATTTCCGGGCACGCCAATCCCATTGGCCACTGCTGCCTGGGACCCCTGCTCTCACTGGCCCTCCTAGTCTGCGCCCTTCTCCCAAGAGCCCGCCTTGACGCGGAACTTTGAGCTGGATCGGGTACGCGCCAACAAGGACGCAAGGGAAAAAAAAAATAAAACGGACAATAGGAATGATGTCACGGGCGGGACACAACAAGGAACGTCCCGGAAAGAATGTGAACGACCGTTTTAAAGAATTTACGATGAAATTTACAATTGCACACAAGACCCATTGAAACTAGCTACTAAGCATTTGCTGTGAAAAAAAAATAAAGCCCACTTGGCTGCTGGAAGTCGACTAACTAAAGCATCATGGGATACTAGTCTTGGAGCCCAGGCCGTGGCGGTTGTGGTTCGGAGTAGCAAAGTCACACTGTACTGGGGACATCCAGGGGCCACATCACTACAGTGCTGGTTGGGAGCCTCAAGCCTGCCTGGACTGATGCGTAAAATAAGCATAAATTAAACATAAATCAAGAATAAATTTAAAGATTACAAAAAAAAAATAAAAAAAGTTTTGAAGAAGTGTTCTTTGCTGTCAGTGCATTGTGGATATAAGGAAAATCAACGGAGATAACTTGGGCCGATCCAGCACGTCTCTCCACATCACGCCTCCTCCTTTCCTGTGCTTTTGTGAATGTTCCTCCGTAGCCCCCGTTGATTGACAGATTTTTCGTCCAATGTTAGTGACACGCGTGTAACGGCAGCCCCGCCCCCTCTTCATCAGCCCTCTCATGTCCTGGTATATCTTTAGAAACATCACAGTCTGTAGCAACGTATGTTCTCACCTTGGATGGAAAAAAAAAAGTTGTTCTAGAGCCATAAGTGTATTTAATTTTTGTACAAAAATATTTTCATGATGATGCAAAAAAAAGAGAGATATACATAGCTTTTTTATTTGTATTATTGCCGACCGTGTAATAAAGCGACTTGTTATATATCTAATCAAAAATGGCGAGAGAGTCAAAAAGAGAAAAGTTTTATTTTTGTTTCGATTTGATCTTGTGGATTCCTCTTTATTGGCAACGTGCTGGCATCAAAGAATATCAGTTTACATATATACTGAAGTGTAATAAGACTTCACCAAAGGACATTCTAATTGTTTTCTTGCTGCTTTAACAGTGGAAAATGTACATGAATAAAAGAGGGAGAATCGGCTTTGTGTTTGTATTTATTGCCAAAATAGTACTTTGATTATCACTAAAACATTGACAAATCTTAAGTAAATGTATGTCCTTAGCACACGTATTTATAACAAATATAATGGAGATTTTATGATACAAGATAACATATGAACATTTAAAATATCAACATTTTACAATACATATAACAATTATCAACGTTTAGCTGGGGAATGTTCAAATTTGTCCTATTTTTGGTTGCATCATTCACAAAGTAAAAATCAGGCAAAAAATAAAACACAATATCCTTATCTACAGGTAAAATGTATTTCTAAGGTTTTAGTAAGTTAAATAAAATATCCTGATAACAACAACAATGTATGATTCTTTTCAAGGCTTGACTTTCAATCTGATTTCATTGAGCCATAGTTTGGGTTTTTCATTCGAGTCCCTGAAGAAGCCCCACTGCGATCCTGATAAAATACAACGCTGTTTAAAAAAGTAAACACTGATAACAAAAGCTACATAATTTTACTGTTGTTCCTTCAACCCCATTTAAGACAAATGACTATTGACCTTAAATATTGGATACAAAAGTCATTATACATGAGGATGGAGCCAAAACTGGGAGACATAACTGGGAGACATAACTGGGGGATACAGCCCTTCAAAGCCACAATGAGCATCATTGGTGTTTTTCTGTTATTTATCTTCAGCTCAATTCGATTCATTGAAATAGATTTCTAAGGGGGTGGGGAAGAAGGCTAATTAAATATTAACAGCTATTGATGTCTCCCGGAGAGGTTTTAGAAGTTTATATAGTAGGTCTTGTCAGCTGGCTGACCATTCATCCATAACAAGACAAATTCAGAATGCTGACTCTGGAGGGGGGTTTGGGAGCAAAACTTTTCATTCTGATTTAACTTGAACTTAAATATCTGCTGGGGGGGGGGGTTAACTAGTGGGTAGTGATGTCACATAAGGAGGACTTGATCTCCCGTATCTCCGCCACTGCATACAAACTGGGGGGGGGGGGGGGGGGGGGGGGGCACATTTGCCTGTTGAGGATGTGAAGCCATTCTCTTTAATACGGACATGCATTTTGCATTAAGCGATTAGTCAGCTTCTGGCATTCTATTTTATAATACATTCACGACTGGGTGATAAATGTATCACATCATGAATGTTTCAGACTAATCGGTACAGTACGCCAAAGAATATGCATCCATAAGTAAACGCAAGACAAAGGGCCTTTCCCCATATATTGTCTCCTCATGGCAGCTCCAGATTTAGTTCCCACCAAAATCCAGTCGCTTCTAGACTTTGGCAAACATACTGTCGCCCGTAATGTTCACAGTCCTAGATGCATGTTTTTATAAATGCCATCCATTCATTCACCTTCTGACCATTTGGGGCGGGTTGTATTTTGCTGTGAGTAGGATCACCAAAAGCAGTTGCTTTAAACTTCATTAAGTTTCGATATCAAATAATTCAATTGATATGAAGGATAGACAATATTTTATGTGAAGACATAAGGCTGAAAATTTTTGTAATTTTGTAATTTTTAATAAAAATAAACATACTTCATCTTCACCCCAGTGACTTTAAGAAAACGAAAGTGCTGAAATTCATTAATTCATGAAAACCATGTAATTTTTTTTTTTGGTGCAATGAATTCAGTAACACACTGAGCTTAACTCAAGCGTGACCATCTGAAAGGTTTGACCTGGAATTCATTGCAGCGGTTTTTAATTTATGCCTATTGTTGCTTTCCATTTTCTCCACACAGAGAGCACTCCTCGCATTTATATCTAAAATCTATATCTCCTGTTGTTTTATATTCCCCACCATTTTTAAGAAGAATGATGAGATTGCACCTAAAACTATGGAAGGTTTAGATACCAACAACATCCCCGGTAATTTCTGTGCATCTGAAGTATCATTGTTCTTACAGTATGTTTTTCAAAACCACCTCTTGTGCAAACACTGTTCTCAGGGATCTTCAGACAGTCAATGTTTTTGCTCCTTTCTAGCTCCCAGTAAGGAAGCAAAAATGTGGACTGTCTAGGGATCCCTGGGGACCCCATTCAGAAGCACTGCCCTAAATACCTAAGCTACACACATCATGCTGAGCCAAATCTTTTTTAAAAAATCATCACATTCAGCACCTACTTCAGCATAAACTGCAAGGCAGGCGTGAAGGTTAGAGGGAAGATGTTTTATGACTTCCTCAATTACCCAACAACAGACACCTGTCTAACGAGGCAACCATTGTGCTAGTGATTCCGTCAAATTCTCCAAGTAGAGAATTTTAACGCCATTTAATTGACCTCAGGGTGAAGGTTGATTATTAGTCGACTTCACTGTGAAAAAAAAAAATTGCAGTTTACACTCGTTTACTTTTGTCACACACAGATTTTATAATGAAAAGTTTATTAGTAATTCTAGTAGCAGTGTTGTATAATTTGGGTGTTTGTGTTGTATTTTCCACGCTACAGGTGGGGAAACATGTTTTCTTGACATTCTACATTTTTTAAAGAAAGCCTTAAATAAATAAAATTAAAATAAATACATGAAAATATTTGCCTGTCAGCTTGCTACATGCTACAGATCCTACTCGCCTTAATTTAAAAAAAAAATTGAGATTTTTTTTAATTCTCAGGTAAACCACGTAATCTTATGAAGGCAACAAATGTGATGTTTGAACAAATTTAATTACTCTGCTTAATTAGGTGTGGAGTCAGGAATAACGTGAAAAGTGACAGGCGTGCGGGGCAGTGCCCTAATAGAAGGGGCTGCTCAAAGGGGCCGTTTGGGGGGCGGGACGGGATCTTTAGAAAAGGAATCTCTTCAGAAATAAGCCTCGAAGCGTGAAAACACCAGTCCTTTCGTTTAGCTAGCTTTCATTTGAAGAAAGTTAGAATTTCTACAACAGTTCAAGTTTATTGCCTTATAATCCTGTACTATCTGAGTGGTTAAATGATGGATGGATGAGGTCAGGTCGGGTCAGGTTGGGGAGAATGCACTGGTACAGCGCGTTGCTGCACCCACCATACGGCGAAACCCCCCAGGCCAACACCCTCTGGAAATGGCCATCTGTTATGTGGGCGTCCCTTTGGATTTGGATGGATGGATTTAGGTTATGTACTTTGGGTACTGATGTTTCTGTTATCTTATTTGATCTTATTTTAATTATGTCTTCATTCTGTTTGAAAATGAGTGCCTGTTGTTCTCTTCACGTTCCACGTACATATTGTCATTCTTCCCTTCAAACTGGCTGAGTAACTATAGTTTTTGATCCCAAAATGTCATGTCAGCTCCAGAGGCTTCTGAGTGTCACACACCCCATGATGATGTCACACCGCCAAAACCCCAACGTTTTACATGCTTTCAGCTTTCCACTCCGGCGTAGTGGCTCTCTGCAGCTCATCTCATTGCGGTCCTGCAGACTTCTGAAGGACTGCGCTTGCAGGTTTTTCGTAACCTTTTTTTTTTTTTTTTAACCTAAGGAGAGTGACCAATCAGGAACCCTTTCGCCTCACGTTCCGCGGTCGCCATGGCACCAGATTCCACACTGAGCAGAAGGCCAACGAGGATGACACCTAGCCTTCTCAGTACCGCCTATCCCCCCCCCCCCCCCACAAAACAAACCCCTTGCAGTGACCGACACTTAAGGGTGACATTGGAATTTGGACGCCGGATCGCGCATCGATTACGTAAAACATGAGGAGGTGGAGGCCTCCTCAGCCTGTGGTGGCACGACGCTGGACAGATGGAACGATTCGCCCTGGTCATTCTTGGGGAATTGGGGGAGGGGGGAGGGGGGGGCGAGGCTTTAACAAGGCCCTATACAAAAACAGAGGCTTGAAGTGACTCAAAGGATTATGCACAGATTACACTGGACTTAAAATAAAGAGCAAACATGACGTAGCAAGAGCATAGTTACAGAAAATCAATGGACAGTGAGCTACAGATTCCTAGTGGTTAGAACAATGATGTTCAGAGAAAGTATGATCAAAGAATTTAATCTAGGTGGTAAGGAACTGTAAGACGGGCGGGCCTGCATGTCCCCGGGTGACGCAGAGTTAGGGGTCGGCCCCGTCCTGCCGTCTGGGTCCAAACACCAATAATATAAAATGGACTTGTGTGCCCCCCATTCTTATTGGATGACATATGTGGCACGTGGGCGGAGTCTTCGTTTGCAGTGAAGCGTGGGATGGGAGGGGGGAAATGTCAGGTCACAGCAGCCATAGAACCTGCTACCTTTCCATGTGAAGGACTCCGGTGTTGGCGGATGGTATTATTAGACCTTTTTAGACCACAGAAGTTATTTATTTCTGCTACTCTCAGCACTGGAGGCATCCTCAGTGTCCCTTGTACAACAG